GTTGCGCCTTAACCACTCGGCCATCTTGCCAACATAACATTCTGCAACTAACATAGCATATACATAACCAGCCAACAAGGCTGTAGAGAAACAGGACGAAGTTAGTTTCAAGTCGAAAAGGTCGAACGAGGAGCTTTGCGAAAAGGTCTTTGCGGGGAGGGGATTTGCTGCATGGCTTTGAAGGGGGCGAACGCACCTGCTGCCAGCGCGGAGACGACGAAGAGCTTCGGCTGGAATGCAGCTTGGAGCAACGGAAGCAACCGAGGCAACCGAGGCAGCAGATCAGCCAGTGGGGCCTGGCGCTGGACGCGCTAAGGAAGCGATCTGCAGAAGCGTGCATCAAAGGCTGCCAACGAGTCGGCTCCAGAGCAGAGCGCATTTTGACGCTCGAGACTCGACGCGTTCGCGTCCAGCCGCCGAGTGCGTGCCCGGCTTGTCGACACTGAGACCGCAAACCCTGATGCGAGGCTAACTTATTTCACCCGCGCATGTCAAGAGGGCTTCCGAAGCTCGGTGGCTCCGACAGGCGCGTAACAACACACGCACACGACTTGGCCGAGCCCGAGTGTCGAGCCTCGTTTGCTGATCCAAAGACGTCGCATGCTCGAGCTTGGACCTGCGCTGAGCAGCGCCAGGCGAGTTGCAGGTGCAAAGAACCGTGCAGCGAGGTGGCTCGGCTAAGTTAGCATGCGCAGGTCCCTGCCAGCCGTGAGCACATTGACGATCTTTTAGACGCTTGGCATGCAGCTCCAGGACGCGCCAGCCACGCCACCGCCGCGTTGCCAACCTTGCAGCTGCCGAGGCAACCAAGCGTCCGTAGCATCCCCCCGCCGCCCTCTCTTCCGAGCGCCTAGCCGAAAGAGATTTTTCCAGGCCGGCCAGCCGGTTACCCCCCTTTCCTATCCAGGCAGCCGCCGCAAAGGCCGCCGAGCTCAGACTGCCATTCGTGAGTGAGCAGCCTGCGCCTCGTGGGTCGGCACTTGACGTCTTCCCCTTCCACTTTACCATCACCCGCTCCGTCACCTATCTCATTCCACTCCACGGCGCAGAAGATGCGCCTCTTTGTCCTGGCGACATCACGTATCTCTTACTGAACCACATCTCCACCCACCACCCCATCCAGATTCCAGTCGGAACCGCTCCGAGTTTCAGCCTATACCCTACGCAATCGCGACCTAGATCCTCGTCGGAAATCGTTCGTTCTTTACTCTGGGTGCCGTCGATACCCCTTCTCTAGCCCGGCCACCTCGACGACTTCTGCCTTGGCGCTTCAGGAACACGACTCGACGCCGCTCTCTCTTCTCCGCATCTAGCATCTTCAATTCAACATACCTCGATCCCCCTTCACAATGGGTGGCTTCCTACGTTCGTCGGTCGCGCTCGCCTCCATGCTCCTCGCTCTTGCAACATCCGACGCGCTGGCCGCACCGTTGCGAGTGTCGCTCTCCAACAATCCCACCACATGTCAGCCGATGACCGTCACCTGGGATATTTCGGCAGGAACGGCGCCTTGGACAGTCACTGTCGCCCCTCTCGGACACGTGCCAGTGTCCGTGTCCCTACCCGCCAACTACATGTCCGGCAACTCGTGGCACTGGAAGTGGGACGTTCCCGGCTACACCACCGCCGTTTCACAAGTGATTGTCGCCGTGTCGGACAGCACAGGTCGCGTCAGCGGTACCTCTGCACTCTCGACGCTTTCAAAAGCTGGTTCATGTTCTGCGCCTGCCGAGCATCTCGACTTTATCTGGTATCCTCCTTCCTCGAGTCCAAAGCAGTGCGATGACTGGCGCATCACGGTTCAAGAAGACCGCGGCAATCTCGGCCTCAAGATGCCCGTCGAGCTGCTCATCCTGCCCGAGAACGACGTGCCCACCCTGCTGCGCATCAACGATCAAAGACATAGCAGCGTCGACTGGACCGTCAACTACCCTCGCGGCACCAACTTCGCCATCGCATCATTCGACGCCGGCACCTCGGGCACCGGCGGCGTAGGCGGCTCAGCATACACAGTCGGTCGCGGCAGAGCCGCGTCATGCATCGGCTCGGCCCAAAAAGAGGCCGTCGCAGGCCTCCCGGCAGCCTCAAGCACCGCCTCGCTAGTGTCTCCCACCTCGTCTGCCGCCTCGCGCATGGTCACCTCGCGCGTGGCGGCCACCGCGACGGCCACGAATGCCAAGGCAGCTCCAACAACCACGGCTGCTGCAAAGACAGATGCGGCTGCTGCCAAGTCGAGTGGCTCAAGCGGCGTCATCGGCGGCGCTGTGGGCGGCGTGCTTGGCGCTTTCGCCATCGTCGGTCTCGTCATCTTCTTCTACCGAAGACAGCGGAACAGCAAAGGCCCAGACGAGTACGGCGTGTACGCCAACAACGAGAAGCGGTCGTTCTTCGGCGGCTTTGGGTCCGGCCGCTCGGCCGACCGCTACGGATACAGCAGTCGTGGTGCGGATGGCGCGCGGATCGGCGCGTCCACGGACCAGCAGGGTGGCATCTCTCCGTTCGTCACCGGCCGTGCTTCGCCCTGGCGCTGGTCAGCACGGCCTGTCGGTCTTGCCGACGATCAAGACATGGCGCAGGTAGATGGCGAACGGAGGGCCATCCTGGCGCGCATCAACGACGGGGCGAGCTCGGTTGGGCATTCGAGTTCTGTGAGCCTGCACCGCGGCAGCGACTCGATCGGCGGCTCGGGCGGCATCACAGGACTCAAAGGCGCTCCCAGTGTGCATTCGGTCGTGCCGGACGATGCGCTCTTCCCGCCGCCGATGCCGATCAACCGCGCCATGATGCCAGGCCAGGCCGCATTCAACGGTTATCCTCCAGCCTCTATGGGACCTGGCGTCGGCGTCGGCGTCGGTGCCGGTGTGGGAGCGGGAATGGGCGCTATCGGGATGAAGCAGGCGTGGAATCGGGATCGCTCCGACTCTGGCAGTTCGCAGCGCGATCCCTTCCGCAACCCGCCCATAGGCCCGACCACGCCTCCCAAGGAGCTTGCCGCCCTCGCAGAATACTCGCAGCAGCATGTGCGGGACGCCGGCTGGTCGCGCCAGCATCCTGCGTCGCGCGATTCCATGGCCGCCATCGCCGGACTCCCGCTCTCGCCCTCGTCGACGTACACCGCAGGTGGACCGACGCGATCGCGCGATTTCACTGGCATGGCTCCCGCAAGCTCGTTCGCGCCTCCTGAGCCCATCCCGGAACAAGACTTGTCGACCATGCGCATTCCGCCTCCCGCACCCATCTCGACGTCGCTCTTCGATCCCTACGCCCACGCCTCGCGGCTCTACTCGCAGGACGACGTTGCGCACATCTCGGCCGCGCTCGCCCGCGACAACGCCGCCACCCCAAACTCGCTCAATTCGAACGCCAGCGCGCCCAGATACGTCGACCCAAAGGAGTCGGCCGCGCGCTTCAGAACGCTCGACGCCCAGCTTCTGGACGAACGCAAAAAGGTCGTCTCCAACATCTACGACGACGATCAGGACTCTGACGACGAGGGCGGCCTCCCGTACATGTCGTGACATCGTTCGCTGATCAATGATATGCTAGATTCACTTCAATGCCTGCATGCTGTAATGGTGCCTATGGGTTTACAGTGCGGATCGGAAAGCTGTGTTCAAGTGAGGATTCATGCCAAGATGTTGTTGTTGTGTTGTGCGAGCCAGGCGCGCCTAACTGGCAAGGGCTACATGGTAGTCCGAGAGGCCGATGAGAGAGCTCGTGTGCGGGATGGTGTTGGCATCCGCATCGGCGATGACAACCAGGCGTTTTTGCATGGCTTGCTGGAGGTAGTCGGTGAATCCGGTCGATCCGAGCGACTGATAAAAGGCGCCGAGGCCCGTGGAAGCGGGGATGCGCTTTCCGAGTTCGCTCGAGAGCTTGGTCTTGGAGACGCCGGATGATGACGAGGGGGCGAGCGCGGCGAGGCTGTCGAGGAGCGGGCGGAAGCGCGTGGCGTCGTCAGCGGGGACGGGTCCGGAGGCAGTGGCGCCCTCGGACGATGTGGAACGCTGCAGCGACGCCAGGACCTGGCTGGTCTCCTTGCGAATCGCGTCGAGCTCGTGTGCAGGCCGCGGCTCGTCGCTGTCGCTTGTGCCTGCGCTCCTGTCTTGATTCTTGCCGAGGCAAAATAGGTTGACCTTGACGCGATCGCGTGAGTCGTCTTCGTCAGTCTCGTCGGTCTCGCCGTCCGTGACCTGCGTCTGGGAGCCAGGCTTGACCAGCCGCGGGTGCAGCCGCACGTGTCGCACGCCCGGCTTGAAGCCAGGCTCGGTGGTGACGATCTTGGCAGCCACCGCGGCCTCGAGGTAATCCTGGAACTCTTCCGCCGTCTTGGCCCGCAGACCGTGGACCACCACCGAGGTGCGTTGCGTGCCGACGATAGAATGGCAGAAGTAGTCGGTGGAGTAGTTGCGCCCTTCGGTCATCTGCTCGTGCAGCAGTTGAGCCAGAGGCGCAAAGATGAGCGGAATCTCGTGTCCGTTCATGATGGCCTTGCGCTTCGGGCGGCCAGCGCCCTTGAGCGGAGAGTCCGCTTTGGACGTCGACTTGGATGGTGCGAGATTCATGACGCTGCGCTTCAACGCCGACATCTTTTTGTCGACGGAGGGACTGGGTGTGACAGCGGTGTCCGGAATGCGGGCGGCACCCGGCATGATCTGACCCGTTTGCACACTGAAATATCTGGGGTTGAGCTCGACGACGAGCACGCCCTCCTGGTCCGACGTGGCAGGGCGAGCGACGCCTGCCTTTTCAGCTGCAGCAATGTACTCTCTCCAGCCAGGAACACCGGCCAAAGAGTATGCGTCTACGATTCCCTGGCGCGCCATGGAGGAAAGCTGCATACCGACGAACGAGCACAGCGGTTTCGAGTTGCCCTGTGCCTTCTGCTCTTTGCAGATCTCGATCAGCGGCAGGAATGGCTTGGCTCTAGGAGGAATATCGGACGTGGAGCTAGAGGGCGTCGAGTACAAGGTTGGTCTCTGCCGACTTGGCGTTGCGCCAGCCGACCCCGACGAAGTGCTTTGCATCATGGGGAGCGAGGTCGCAGCGGCACGAGCCGTGTCCTGTAGAGATACCCATTCGTAGCCAGCCTGGCCGGAGGAGCCGAGTGTCACGATGCCGGCGGCTTCTGCGACCGCCGCGTATTCGCCCCACTTTGCCGCACCGGCGCGCACAAAGATGCCGCGGTCCATGCTGACCAGGCGCGTCGCCACCATGGAGCGAAGGGGCTTCGGATTGCCCTCCTTCTTCATCTGCTCCAACAGACGGATGAGAGGATCGAAAAGCTGCAATGTGCGGTTGGATGGGCGTCGATCTTGGTGCTTCAAGGCACCGGGCGGTTTGCCGTGCGACAATGAACCATTCGCGTGCGTCTGAGAGCTGGAATTTGCACCAGTGCCGCTGTTTGCTTGCTTGGAGGGCGTGTGAGGACCATTATTGGTGTAATTCGTGTAGGGTTTGCCATCCTTGTTTGTCTGCACGCCAAGAACATCCTGACGCCAGGACATGACAATGTTGGCGGATGCTTCCAAGATCGGAACGGCGCCGATAGGTGGGGTGACGAGGACGACGTTGTATCCACGGTTGCGGAGGACGCCGAGCGGATATGCAAAGTCACGGTCTCCCGAAATGAGGACGACAGTAGCGGGTGCGGGTTGGTCGATAGCGTAGGCGAGCAGATCGGTGATCATCATTTTGTCCGCGACATCCTTCCTGCCGCTCTTTGGCGTGTCGATGAGACTGACGCCGCAGCCCTGTAACTCGCTTCGGAGCTGTACCTGTGCAGCGTTGGGAGCCTGCGTTTCTGAGGATAGCTCGAGGTAGGCTTTGAAGCTGACGATGGGGCCGATCTCGAGGTTCTGCATGGCGGCACGGACAGCAAGAGCGACGGATCGACCCGACGAACCAGTGGGCGGAGCGCAGTTGTCGACGTCCCAAAAGATAGCGAGCGGCTCGACATCGTCCTTGAAGCGGTCGCGCTTCGACTTGCCAGAGCTAGTCGAAGCCGGTGGCGGGGAGGATTCGCGCTGTCTTGAGTCTGCATCTTGCGGAGGCTTGTCCTGAGTAGAAGACCGGGAGAAAAGCTGGGTGGCGACGAGGACGGAGCCTGTGCCGAGACCTACAAGCGCCAGCCAGCGTACCGCTGGATGCTGCACGTAGTGAGCAAGGGTGCCCAGCGAAGCCGACGCGGCTGCATCTTGACGACTGGCCGCCATGGATCGCCCGGAAAGCCGCGTGAGCTAGAGGGCTTGATTGATCCGGTGAGATGGTGCGACGTCCACGGTGTGCATGCAGATAACGTCGTCAGTCTTGGCGTCGAGCTGTACAGGAGCTTGAGACCAGGAAAGGCGAAGAGCCAGATGAGGGAGGGTCGAAGCCGAGAGGTTCGCCGTCGGTGAGAAGAAAGGGCATTTATGGAGCTGAGTCTGGTGGCTTGATTGGCCTCTCGACACACGAGGCTGACCTGACCCGACCTGCGCAAGGCACAGGCACGCTACAGCAGGAATGCTTCGCGCGAGTAGCTTCGCGCCCTTGCGCCTCCACATCTCTTCCAGACGCCAATTGTTTTTGTATGTTTGATTCTGGGCCATCCGAGCGGCAGGCCCGAACAAGAGGCTCGGGAGGGCACTTCAATGAGGTCGGCTGAGCCGATACACTTCCATCACGAGCTTGGCCGTGGGTGAGAGCAGAGCAGAGCAAATGCGAGGTCTGAGTTTAAAGACGGTGACAGTGCCTAGTGTTGGGGTGAGTGTGGATTGCGGCGTCTCTGCTGGACCCGGCTTCGGAAGAAAGCCGAAAATGCCAACACCAACAAGACCCTCTTCGGACGCAGCCTTCTTTGTTTCTTGCGACAATCATCGAGGCTCACCACCATGGACCGTCTATATCATTATCCGCAGACGAACGAGGAGCTTATTCAGCACTACAAGCTCGAGCCGCATCCCGAGAGCGGCTACTATGCAGTCACCTGGGTCCCAGTCCAGATGATCCGCTCGCCTTTTGCAAACAACGAGGAACGCAGCATTGGAACGTGCATCTATTACTTGCTCTGCCACAAGACCGCTGGTTGTCCCGAAAAGCCAGCAATCGCGCTCACCGCCAGTACAGATGGTAGCGAGATCGATCCTTTCAAGTCGTGGTCGAGCGATGTGGGCGTGTTGCATCTCAACAAGTCTTCCACCATGCACCTCCACCATGCCGGCCGCACCAAGTACACGTTGATCTCGGCGAAAGCACCCCTAGGCGAAGGTCTTGTGGATGAGAACGGGGATCCGCTCACAAAGACCGTGATCATGGGCGATGACATTGCCAATGGCGAGGTGCGCCAGCTTCTGGTTGAAGGCGGCTGGTGGAAGGTCAGCGAGATCCCAGAAGCCGACCGTGCAGCAGCGCGCGATGGCACAACTGATCCCACAAGAGTAGGTGCTCTCATCTCCGAGGTCGTCACGCCAGGCTTCCACTGGGACGAACATACCTATCTGAACCACGCCAAGCTGCGCGAGCTCGTAGCCGACAGCCCGCGTGCCGAAGAGCTGTTCGCCAAGTACAGGCCGTACGTCAAGGAGCTATGAGGTGGGCAATCTCACTTGCAAACACACACCCGGAGCAGACGCAATGACATGGGCATGAGTGATGACAAGGATACAATACATATGATCGACGATCGTGCAAAGGCTATGTTGGGCGAGACCGACCGAGACGCATGCGAACATGCTTACGTCTCGGATTTGTAGCTGCGCACAGGGAAGAGTCTATCGAAGTTGCGGCGGTCGAGGAACCAGGGATCCTTGGGACTGAGCTGCTGTCGCGCCGTGAGTTCTGCATCGCTGAGAGCATGGCCTCCAGCAACCTTGGACCAATCGGTATCGCCGCGAAGGCTGAGCCTGAAGCGCGACCAGTACTGCCTGTACAGGTTTTTCGCCTTGGTCTCGAACATTGGTGTTGGTGCCGCTTCGAGCTGGTATCCCAACGTCACGTCTTCGCCCAGCAAGATGGACGAGGGCACCTTTTGCCGCTTGCCCGACGTCGCAGAGACGACGCGAATTCCTTTTCCTTGGGCGTATTCTTCAATCTCCACCGCCGAGGTCCTGTCTCGGCGATAGAGGGCACTGAGGTTGTGGAGCCGTTCGTAAGGGTCCTTTGGGTTGAGCGGGGCGCTCTTCTTTGAACGCATCGAGGCAGGCAAGAAGCTGCGGAATGGCCTCGCAGCGGTACGAATACCGACCTGGCGAAGCGCAGGATACAGCGTGACACGCGTGGCGAGCCTCGAAGGCGTATAGAAGAAGAACATTCCAAGCGCTCCGGCCGTGAGGCCAACACCAGCGCCAGTCGCATATCTGAGCATCGGTGGCGCCAGCTTGGTGTTTTCGACGTCGCGCGATAACAGAGGCCAGCTCAGATGCTGCGTCAACAGGTAGCCCTGGTAGGCACCAGCTCCGGTGAAGACCGATCCGATGAAGTAGTAAATCGCCTTCCTCATGCCCGGCGGGCCTCGGAAGATGACCCGTGGCGCCGAAGCCATCTTTTCAACCGATCTTCGGTTCTGCTGATCCTGCTACTTGCTGTAGTCCTATCCTCGCTCGTAAACCGCCGTAGCTGTGGGCGCTGTTCGTGATCCGTCCCGCGTTGGTGTGCGTCAGAGCGTTGGCGACAGACGAAGCGTCTTTACGAGCTCTGCACCCTTAGCTCAACCTTCTCGAACCGTGACTTTTTCCAACGAGGTTCTCTTCCGATTTCCGATATTCGAAAGGCTTCCTATTTGACTCTATATATTTGCATCTTTTGGCAGACATGACGTACCGTGGCCCTATAGCTCAGCGGTAGAGCGTCGGCTTC